TGAGCACTCGACTTCCTTAAATTTAGGAAGAGATTTGACAGGAGAACCCACGACGAAGAAGACTAAAACAGCCCCCTTCAGAAGCGTCCCCTGAAGGCCCTGCTAGGCTGTCGTTTCTGAGGTCCTCCATACTTCTGGTACTAGAGCTTCTTTCTAGTTGACTATGCGCTTTTTCTTTTTTTGCCCAACTGAACAGAACTCCTTAAATCTCCCATCTCCTGAGGATCATCGCTCCTGGGACGCCTGCGCAGTGTAGGAAACTTCAATTCAGAAAAATCAAGCCCCGGAGAAGACTCTGACTCGAAATTATTTGAGTTTCTAGCAGCTGAGACGAGTCTAACTGTGACGCTTATTTGAGGCATCGTCTACCATGCACCCTGAGTCAAGCTTAATAGTTACTGCCGCTGGAGTTCCTGATCAAAATAGTTCGTGTAAGAACACTTGGAGTGCTGCGGAAACCACTGGTCTTCGCGGTGGTGGTAATCGGCTAAGGTATTGTCAAACCTATGCATCTCCGAAACACGCATATGACTAAAATATAAAACACTTTTTTTTATTTCTTCTGCCAAACTTTCATGCCTTGGTTTATCAGTTATTCACCTCATTTCAGATTCGACTGCTTTGAAACTTTTGCTTTATTCGTAGTCACTCTGAAACCCTCCAAACACCGGCAAAAATAGAAGAAAAAAATTTTAAAAAAAGGCCTGGAAATAGTTCGCAAACGTACGCAGAGGAGCGAGTAGTTCCTCTCTGGAAATGGTTCTGTAAACATTCCAGCCTCTGATTGGTTTGAAATTTCTGTTTCTCGTTACCTTAGCGACAATAAGGCTAATAGCCTAAAAGCCATTAGCTCGATTGCTGTTTTGTTTTGCGACAGTTTCAGTTCATTTTACCCAACAGTGAAGGCTTTTCTGATCTCGGCGAGACTCACTTTATAGAGCCAGTTGATCTTAAAACCGTTCATATGGAGATAAAGGTATATATCTTCAGTTTACCTATTTATTCCTATAGTTCATTTGCTGTTTATGGTAAAAGAAAGTCCGCACTCCATCGGTTTGAAATCGAAGTGAATGAAGTCACCATTGAACGACTTATCAGTATTCGTTATTTGATTCTGCGGCTTTGTAAGTTTTCACACCTATGTACAAAAACAAAGAATTTCTAATCTTGAATCATACGGTCTACATGTTAACAAAAGTGAACACTTTCAGCGAAACATCTTTAATGTGAAGCTAAGCAATTCATTTTCATTGATTGTAGGTTTATCTAAGCCAGTTTTCATCACCGAATGATAATATATCAGTTTCAAACTAGATATAACGATCTATATTCTTAATCACGTTAGCGTTACGGTTTTTTGAGATTGCGTGTGCAAGTTTTAGGCAGTTGGGAATTTTGAGTTGTTTTTGAGTGGAAATTTTCGTATGTTGTTGGTGTTTACCTTGGTTGCCGTCAGTTTACCATTTTACCTTGTTACGAATAAACGCGCTTGGTCGATCTCCATATCCGCTTCAGAACACTAACGCTGTTATTTCTACACTGTTTAAAATTCTACTGCATGTGCCCTAATGAATACTTTTCTTTCCCGTCTATTTAAAGAATTGAAATAAACAGTCCCGAGGTAGGAACATAAGAACTTGCAAAGTCTCCGCTAATGTTTAATTTCTTGTGTAAACTTCCTCGTGTTAGAAACTTTCTGCCAGTGAAACTGTCAAACGCCTGTTTTCGGAGAACGCGAAGAAGTTGATGTCTCTACGCTGAAATATGCCATTCTCTGTCAGGGCGTATTTTCAATAGGT